GTCAGCTGTGCGTTCATCGAGATATGAAGCACTTGGGAAGTTTGGAGAGCACTTAAGAAGCTAGAGTTGCTCTAAGCTACGCTTCAAGCAACTCTTGCGCATCTTTCGGGCTCCTCAAACTTCCCGCGTGCTTCATAGCTCGATTAACGCACGCTGACGTATGAACCAATTGTTAATTTCCAGTCACTCTGGGTGAATGAAACAATCTTATCATGATCACATTTGATATTCATGCATTATCAACTGATATATGCAGTCAAGAAGTGCTTACAAAAGCAAAAAATCAGGTTAATTTTTTTAATTTTCTCCTTCCCTTGAGAAGGTTACAACTAATTATAGAAAACATTAAGAATTATCATATACAAAAATAGACAATTAAATGTCTTACACTTTAACATAAACTCCTTAAAATTGCTTTTCAAGTTAACTGTTTCATAATTAATGTTCTTGATCCACACTCCACTCTTTCCAGTCTAGAGATCAGGGATCAGGGAGCCCAAGAAACCACAGTCACACCCAATGAAATTGTGCCTGATTTATAATCGATTTTCAAGCAACAAAATCTATGAAGATTGTTGCATCTGTCTAACTTTTCAGCATTAAGTTTCTGAACCAGAATTTGAGAGATGACTGGATAGCAAAGTAAATGATTACAGATTCTGGAATCTGCAAAAAACCTCTGAATAAATGAGAAATTTGCATAGAAGTTTGGTGAAATATTTTCTTGTATTCCTGCAGTTGTGGTTTGTTCTGACTCCCTTAACTGCCAATAAGACTGCTAATAAGTTCCCTTGAAAATAATAATTGTCTTCTAATTTTCAAAGACGAGATATAATATTAAAAACTGTGTCTTCACCAATTAATATAATTTCACATAATTTTAGAGCATCAATAGTATTCTGACAACAACACACAAAGTTCTTAAGCATGAGGACAGTTTTTAAACCTTTTAACTCCCAAGATATGATCGTTAATTCTCCCCTCCAGCTTCTAAACATTTCCTTGTAAATTAGTTATGAGATTTTAGTGTTAGCTCAAAATAACAACTTCTACCCGATTTGTTTGAATATTCTCATTACCATTTTGTCGGATAATGTATGGGAATTATAGGGAGAAGTTACATGACTTGTTAATCACCTCTGGGAGTTAAAGGGTTTCAAACTTCTACGATTAAGTACTGAGAAACAACCCTCATTTATGGGTACAGAGCAAGTTTCAGTTGACTGTGGGTAACAATCTTGTGGTGTCATATCTCTAAGTGAGCATTCATCATGGGAATAGATTGGCATGACTGCATGTTAGCAAAACTAGAAACACAAGTGATTTAAGTCACTCATGCTTATTGCTGATGCAAAACCCACAATTTTTAAAGGTCTCATTCACCCATTAAAGATTGCCATGTTACACTGTTGTTAGATTCTTGAATCCCGTAATACAAGTTACCAGAACAAGTTGTGCAAGTAGCTGACTGGTCCAGCCAGTCATAAATGAGAATTGCATCACTCTCTTCAACTGCTAACTTGTTATGCAGGTTGAATGTTTATACTTGCTCAGGACAGGTATAAATTTGTGTTGTGCAAAATCTTTATAATCAGTACATTACCTGAAATCACCACAATCCAATATCACAATTACTTAATTAATGCTGACCACATATTTTCAATCTTCTCTTATAAAATTTGTCCAACATCTAAAATTCAGACTCTTGAATTAACCTATTCCACTGTTTTTTGGATCAAACGAATTTTTCAGTTTTAATCTCTCACATACTACAATAATTAGTATTTACAGTAGTACCAACTAAATAAAAATGTGCTTCTCTGAGTTAAAAGATAAATGTTGGAAACAAAATCTAAAGCACTTATTGCTATTATTATCACTATGTTGGGTATTGTGGCAAATTTTGCAGGCTAAAATTGGGAATTTGGAGGGCTAAAATGTATTTTAGCATGCTCCGATGCTTGCGTGATTGTTCAGACTGTTTTGTGGTAATTTTTTTCAATTTTATTTCTAAGTGCCCCCAAATTGATGATGACAATAGTAATACAGTTTATTTTGCTGTGCATAAATATGTTTTGGACCCTTCTAAGATTGAATCATTTTCACCTGACCTTCTAAAATGGCCCTGCATTAGGCCCAAAACATATTTATGCTGGCAAAAATATTAACTCTGGTGTTTCATCATTAAAATACTTACATATGCAAAATCATCATAGTTTTTCTCTTTTTAAATCAAATCTTCAGATTTCTGTCCATTAAAATGTAATAAGTCCAATGACAAGTGATAATTAAGTTATTCAACAATTAAAACTAATCGCTGAATGGTCTAGATGCAAGCAATAACATTAACCTTTACGGCATTATTGTCTTATTTAACACCTTTCAGTTTCTAATCTAAGCACTATTTTCATTCATCCTTTAATTTTTGTGCAGCATTAGTGCAGAACAAATTAAAGGAGTTGTTGCCTTTTCTCCCATGAGCATGCTCATTGACTTTCCTCACACCAAATTTTAGCACCCTTGGTTGCAGCTACATATTGCATGACGAAGAGCCACATTCTAAATTTTGCAATCAATATGCTTTAACTTGCAACTGCCAAAATTGAATTTTTAAACAACAAATAACTACCAAAATCATTTACCACTGCTGTTTGAATACAAAAGCCCAGGTTTCTTTGACTATGATGCAAGTGATGACTGGAGCCATGTGACCTTCAAACCAAATCAGAGGTCATCATCTCCAATTCCCTCAAAAACTTTGTTTGTTGTCATGGCAGCATTATTTGTTGGAAGAGTTGCTGGTTTTGGTGATAAACCTTTGTTCTGTGGACAAACAAGAGGAATTTGTCATTTGATACAATAAATGAAAGATTTGATAGGTCCAAAATGTTTATCTTTTTACACAAAAGAGTTCACTATAATCACATGAGCAATTCATTACAGAATAAGCATCTCAATAGTGCTTTGCTACTACAATTGAGAGACTCAGTTGAAAATGAAAGTGAGACAGTCTAAAAATTTAGGCTATTCATTCCAATTATTTTTTTTAATTCAAAAGTGCATGAATTTTTTGCTTGAGGTCTTCAACTGAACAGAAAAAGACTGCCCTGTGGTTCTTTTTGGCTGGTTTGCTCTCCATTCTTGAGAAAAAAAGTGTACATAAAAAACAGGTTTTTAATTTGATTTTTCCATTGGTCTATGAGACATACTGTTTTTGGACCAATACTCTGGTACTCGTTTCTGCAACACTCTGTTTAGCAACATCCCTATCATGGAGGGAAGTCCAAGTGAAGGCCACTGCAGCCTTTTGTTCAGTTTACTCTGAGCCAGCTTTTTAAACTTAACAACTTATCTTTGCTAATAGGTTTCATTACAACAGCTACACAGTTTCTGATTGTAATACACAAATTATTGCTTTCTACCAAATTAATCAACAGTTTGGGGTGCAGCCTACACACTGGTTTCAAAGTTAAATATAGTATGTGCCAGAATGAAATCTTCAAGTTGACTGTAACCTTTAACCTCAAGACTTACCGATGACTGTTTTGATGTTTTCTTGCCTGGTGTACTTTGTTTCTGGGGAGTTTTTGGACTTGTCAATGGAGGCGAAGAGTTGTCCAAAGCTTTATTTTCTTGTTCACCATCACCCTGATCCAGAATTAACAATACGAGGTCAACCAATTTTTGGCATTCCAGCATCTCTGGATTTCAGTACTACCAGTCTGAAGGATTGAGGTTAGGGACCTAGGGGTACCAGGGGTGGGGGGAAAGGAGGGGAAGAGGTAAGGGAGGGGGGAGGGGGGGGACAGGGGTAACATGGAGTTTTTATGCAAGGGAACTAAGATTTTCTACAACCTGCAAAATTTCTGATGCCCAACCTTTACACTTTCAAAACAAAATTTCTCCTTAACTGAAACATGAACCCAAAGAAGTCCCAGGGATGCAGAGCTTCTGATTTTTCACTGACCAATAATAAAGGAAGAATTTTTTTTACCTCTATAGATGCATCTGATGTCACAGAATTTTGTCGCTCAAAATTGGGGGAAGCTTCCTGTTTGAGTTTAGCGCGATCTTTTGGCTGAAATAAAAGTAAAGAAACAAATAAGAATAGGTTTAGATTACAATTATTTGGTCAAAGGTCAATCATCACAAAACAAAGGTTATAGGTCTAAGAACTTAGGTCATGAAATTTTAAGGCATTCTGGGTTATGGACAAAAACAATCCCTCAGTTTATAATAAAAATACAAAATATTTTTTAAGAAGAAAATTGAATTAAGTGATAGTTCAAAAGGCACCATTTACAGATCACAACACACAAGTCACCAAAAAGGTAACCTAGGAGGTCATAGGTCATAGAGGTCATATTCAGGGTTTCATTTAAAGCAGGTCACCAAAGTCTTCCACTGTCTATAAAACCTCTTATGGCCATACTACTTAATAAGGAAAAAGTTATTGAAACCTCAGCTTATTATAAGTTAAAGGTCATGTACCTTTTTCACAGGTCTTCCTTGCTTCATTCGGAGTATCTCATCCACAATACTCTGAAGACAGAGGCTCATAAGAACTGCCTAAATTTAAAAACACATGTGACAAATTCAGTGAGAGTATGGTTCATCCTTCTTTTCATCACATAAAAAGAAACACGTCTCTTTTCCTACCCTGCCGCATTCCTGTGTATCTTTTATCAACCCATACACCTCTAAGAGGGATAAACATCAAATTTCTCCCAACAGTCAAACACCTGAATCAAACATCAAGGTCCTGAGAATATAGGAAATGATCACAAACTCAAGAAGCTCTTTTGACTCTTTACCTCACTACTGTAAATTGTGATCCACTCCATTTCATCTTTTTTGACGAGGTATTCAAATGCGAGTTCCAGATGTTCTTTTTTATCTCCATTTTCATTCTTTTCACTCTAGCATAGAGAAACATGGAGGCAATGACACAAATACTACTTCTCAGTCTCTAACCCTTTAACTTCCATGACTGACCAAGAAAGAATTTCTCCTTACAATATCAACACAATATTAACCAGATAAGTGATGAGAATAAAGAAAAATATCAATTTGGGGATAATTAATTGATCCAATACTAAATTCTTACCCGGATCGAACACCAAATTCTCATATTAACCAATTTACAAGGAAATATGTAGCAGATAGAGGGGAGAGTTAACAATCAGATCTTGGGAGTTAAAGTGTTAAATATAATTATTACATGGCTATTCCTAAAATTTTGGAACATCTATAATAAATTTAAATTATTTCATAATTCACTTACCGTTGATGTTATTCTCCAGCATCGTATTCTAGTCACCTTAAAGCTCCCTTCTTGGATTTTATGCTACAAAAAAAGAGACATTTGCCTGAGTAACTGAGGCCTTAAGTTACTTTACAAGCATTAGAAATGGTAAAATAGGTTTTCTTCAAGCCAAAAGAGACTGTGAAACCTTCCTGAGATGTTCCTAGTTCAGCTGATGAGCAGACTTAACACATTGTATTTCCAAGTGAACCTCTTGAGCAAAGCAGTGACTCTATTTAGATATACACTTACACCAGGTGTTTGAAGTCTGAAGTTCAGTTCTCTGTTTCCAACACTGATAATAACTCTTGTGTCTTCTTCGGGGTAGTTTGTTGTGCAGGGTTTAAACTGCACATAGCCATAGAATCTTAGTGACCTGGCAAGTTGCAAAAACTGCAAAAACAGATAACAACATTTCCCAATGTCAGAAGATAAGTTATTTTGTTTTATAATGAACAAGCACTTTTCTGATGCTCACAAAACTGCAGACTTTCATTGCAAGATGCATAGCATTGTGTCCACACAGTACATGAAAAGGAAAGAATTTCTTTGTGCAACTTAAATAAAATGAAAGTCAAGAACATGACTTATGTTTCATGTTTTAACCCTTTACATCCTAACATCAGTATGCATATTCTCCATACTGATCTCTATACATTTCCTAAAGTGCTGACAAGGAGAATTAGCTTAATGATCAAGAGCTGTTGATCATTTCCATTATTCTCATGACCTTGGCCTGTGATTCAGGGGTGATATGGTGAGGAGAAATTAGATATTAGTCACTCTTGGGGGCTAAAGGTTACGCATCAATATAAAAATTGTCTCACCTCTTGCTTGGCACCTTTCTGTTTGAGATCTGCAAGTTTTGAGTGTGCTTCCTTTGGGCCAACTGTCCAACCTCTGTCCAGATCACTGACAGCCTGAGGAGAAATACACAACATCACCATATTTGGAAAAACAGATCAGCTTCTGATTTACTAATTGCTCTATAATTACTCAATTCAGCAGGCTCTACTTTACTGTAAAAGCTGTATCATCAGTTTATGTTCAAGCATTTACTGCACACTGGGTACCAGTTTGTCTCGGAAAAGGACACACATGTCATTTGCGAGTCATGTGTTTTACTACTGCAAAGAAGGCCGAGCCTTGCTATGTAGAAGCTAATTTGCTTCTGTGTTTTGAGACTTTACGTAGGTTTCTTGGTCACATCACACTATTGTAGCAGGTCCCAAGGTTACAGAAGATTCAGCAGAGAACATTGTGATCCTGAGTTATCATGAAATTAAAGTTACATGTACAACAGTTCAGTTTAGCCAGGTGTTATCTTCTAATGGAACAGGTTTTTTGCTCAGGGTTACATTGAATGTAAAGCTATCTTCATCTATCTTTTTGGTGCACACTAGCAAAAACAACTTTGTCCTTAACTTCCAACAGAAACCTGGAAGTTTACACCAGGAAGAAGTATAATAACATGAATACACACTTCAAGCTGGAACTTACCTGAACATACAATAAGTTCATTCCTATCCTGTCTTTGACAATCTTTTCCTCTATTTTTGGATCCCACAACCTTGGTGGAACAAATCAATTCATTTAAAAATATATATATTTTTTGTAATGCTTTTCTCCGTGAAATAACTCATTTTAATTAATCACATTGTTTAATATTCCATGAAGTAAGATTGCTTGTAAAACCCCAATACAGTGGCAATTGCAGTATTTTGTTTAGGCCTAACTCTTTTACACCCTAATATCAGTATGCATATTCTCCATACTGTTCTCTATAGATTTCCTAACGTGCTGACGAGGAGAAGTTGTTCAACAATCAGTAGCCTCTTTAGGTGGTGATCATGTTCTTCATTCTCATGACCATCATGTGTGATTCAGGGAAGATAGGTAAGGAGAAGTTAGATGCTACTCACTCTTAGGGGTCCAGGGGTTACCCAGTAACATTGATCTAAAAATACAGGAACTTTTTACATTTTGAAGATTATAGGACCAGAGAAACTTATCTGCCTCTATAAACCCTAAAAATGACATTTAACCCTTTAACTCCCTGAAGTGATTAAAATGAAACTTCTCCCTACAATATCCATACATTATTCAGCAAACAGACCATGAGAATACTCAAACTTATCAGGTAGAAGCTGCTATCTTGATCTGGCACCAAGTTCTCATTACTAATTTACCAGGAAATGTGTAGCAGCTAGAGGGTAGAATTAACAATCAGATCTTGGGAGTTTAAGGGTTACCGGCAAAAGGAGACTTGTTTTAACCTCAAGTTCCATAGAAATCTCACAGGAATGACCATTATGACTTACGTTTTTCTGACAGCCACTCTGCAAGTTCCAGTTTCTGACTTCATGGTCAAAAAGGGTGCCTCAAAATCCTGAAATCTCCTAACAACTGTGGGAAAAAAATGACTTCGTTTACAATTCAAATGACATGTTTCCTTTAAGATCTATTCCATTCCTTCAAAAGATCCCAAGATCTCTTGTTGTCTGCTATAAAATTCTCATGTTGTTAATAGCCCAATAGTCCCATTATTGAAATTTTTCATTATCCTCATCACTTGTCTGTTTTATAATATATTCTTGATATTGCATTGCTGTTGTGAGGATAAATTTTGTTGTGGTCACTCATAGTTACAAATTAATCTACTTACTTGTTGCTTCTCCATCATCAGCTCTTTTAATCAGAAAAAGCCCAAAGTAGTACACTAAGTCTTCATTGAGGTTAATCTCTGCCATCAATGCCTGAAAAGATTTCACATAGTTATCATGCATCATAAAAAAAAGCTGTGCAGAGAATCTTTAGGTATTGTTTTACCAGACTGATTGACTCAATGACTAGCTTCCTGTCTAACAGATTGATTGACAAACAGAACACATGATCAACAGCCTGAACAACTGTTTGCTAAGCTGACTGACTGACTGGCTGTCTGGCTGACAGACTGTCTGATTAACTGACTAACAGACTGACTAACTGACTGGCTGTCTGACTGACTGGTTGTCTGACTGACAGAATGATTGACTGGCTGACTGACTAATTGGCTGTCTGGCTGACAGACTGGTAGACTGGCTCACTGACAGACTAAATGACTAACTATCTGACAAAAGTAATTTGGTATCATCAAATAATTGATCACATAAATTGACCACTCAGAGCTCTGACGAACGAGTAATGCTTGAAATGTCAGCTTTGAAACTCTTTACTATGGCCAATTTATGGTACTCATAAATCCAAGCACAAAATCCAGCAGCAACAACCATTTTTGAATGACACACTTTATTTGATGTGAAGTTGTGATGTCAACTCAGTCGATGATACCAAATAACCCGGTCATACTCTCCCACTGAAACAGCACCACTGTTTCTTTAGAAACTTAGCCCCTTTATTATCTGACAGAAGACTGACTGACAAGAGTGAATAAAGGGGGCAAGTTTCTGAAGAAACTTTGGTGCTGTGTCGGTGGGAGAGTACAGGTTAGTTTAGTGCTATCAACTTAGTTGATAACATAAATTGGCCACCATAAAGAGTTTAAGCCCTTTGTCAGATTGTTAGCCCTTCACTCTGACAAAGGGCTAACACTCAAAACATCAGCCTTTAAACTCTTTATGGTAGCCAATTTACGTTATGAACTCAGTTGATAACACTAAATTACCCTGATGACTGAGTGACTGACTTCCTAGTGGACTGAAGAATTCAGTCAAACTGACTAAGAAACAACAAGTGATTGACATGACTAACTGACCCTGTCCACTAATCCACTACTCAGAGTATAAAAAATTACAAGACAAAATACACCTGTTAAAAACACCCACTGGTGAATAAGAAAAATAACATTCATAGTCTTTATCAACTGAAGTTAATTACGCGATCACCCTGTTAAAACTGCAAGCAAAAAGCACTACCCACTATTTCAAAACTCACCTCTAGTATATCATCTGTTCTGTCGGTGGATTGTATCATTAGCGAAACTTTTTGTCCATTCATGAAGTAAACATCAAGTTGAACATTCTCAGGCGAAGCAGATAAAGATTCCTAAAGGCGAACATAACATTCACTATCTGTAAACTATCAATGACTTTAGATTGATATCATGATTATGCCCATTTACAAACATTTCAAAAATACATTGTGTCTATTCAGTAATAGAT